AGATTATATTTAAATTTACAGTTGGACTATTGCAGCAGGCCTAGAATTTAAAATTGAACTATCTAATTATTATCCAACCATGAAGACCAACTTTGCAAACGTATTGTAACAGAAACTCTTATTGTTAAACCAAACATTGCGCAATTGAATAAAGATGGATATATTGAATTCATAGATAGAACTAAAATTGAGAATATTGATATTGTGATTTATGCTACCAAATATCAAATTGAATTCCTGTTTTTAGATAAAGACATTGATCTTAACACCTAATTAATTTATTTACTGATATTCTTCGATTTTACTATAAATTTGCTAAAATAGAAAATAAACATTTTATGCATTGTTGTCTAATTATATCAAAATAGTATGAAGCTTTACAGCAGATGAATTACAACATAACAAGTTTACAATATTAAAGGCTCTTAGTTCATAATATTTAAAACACTTTTAACCTAAAATATTCATATAAAAAATATTCAAAAATGGCTAATCTATAATAGAATAGAGATGATATAGATGTATTTTTTGTTAAAGCAATTACATATATTTAAAATTTTGATTATACTTTATTGAAAAAAGTTGGTATTAATATCGGTATAAGATTTTTATTCAAAATAAAACCCAATATAATCTTGTAATACAAATGTACTTTTTTCATAATTGTTCTGAATTCTCAGATCGGTTCAGATTAATACGAGTTTTTATCTTGTATATCCTTATCTAATAATTTCTACGTAATAAATTTACAAGGTAATTTGTGTTTAACTGGATCATGAAATCAAAAATAAATATTCAATCTAACCAAATTTAAATAATTATTTTAATGTGATCACAATTCTTAGTCAAGATATGTATATACATATGTATCAAATTAATATATACACTTCATACTTCATACTACGTTTCTGATACCATATACTTCATAATTTCATTACTACATTCCTGGTATTGTATAATTATTCTACAAGTCTATTAGTTTAATAATTACACTATTATATAGTATATTTTTGTATAATTATACTGCAAGTCTATTAGTTTAATAATTATACTATTACATAGTATATTTTAATGCAAGTCTATTAGTTTAATAATTATACTATTACATAGTATATTTTAATATTTTTATAATAATAGCAATAGCTAATTTTAACTTTATTATTATTATTGCATTATTTTGAATTACTGTCATCTTAATATTAAATGATATGAGTATCGTGAACATAAGTTCACAATGATTAAAAGTTATGATGTCGCATTATTTTGAATTACTGGCACTTACACAATATTAATTTTATTTTAATATTAAATGATGAGTATTGTGAACATGAGTTCACAATGATTAAAAGTCATGATGTTAAATTAAGAAATTAAAATAATTATATGTAAAAATGCTTAGGTTATTATATATATGTAATTATAGTTAATTTACAATAGAGTTGTATATACATATATAATAATTTGTAAACAGGTAATTAAAATAAATTCTTA